CCGAGTTGTCTTTGACTCCACCGGAATTAGTAGAAGTAGCCAAAGTAGCATCACAAAAATTATTGCCAGCTAAATCGTTTATACAATATCTGGGAAAAAAGAACTCATTTATTCCCGGGAAAAAAAGTAATTTCATAAAAAGTGACATTTTGTTACCTGTCAACAGAGATAAAATGTCAAACTTTCTTTCCGTCACAGAAAAAATAATTTAATACATACGGTTATACACCGTCCAATAGTATCGCTTATTCATTACTTGATCACCCTTTGTTAGCGAAGCTCAGCCGTTCTACTTATCTGCAGAATAACGTTTCCGGAGGCCATTTAAATAAAATGAATGTTTACGAGCAACTATCCAATTTGCACCTCTCTAAGGCGACGGAGAATGAAATAATTGACAGAAAAAAACTGCTTTTTTTTTCATTTTCTTGTTAGATCTACATTTATACCTCAATGTATCCGTCTATGTTCCGACATTCTAAGCTAGCGGAAAAGTAATCTTTTATCTTATCATACAGAAACAGCCGTAAGGTCCAGATAAGTATAACAAGTGTTAAGAAAATGTTGGTCATCCAAACACAAAGCATAGAGAATGGACTTTGTGTTTGAAGCAAGCCCGCTGAACGTGTGAATAGTAGTCTAGATTGAATCTCATCTGGACCTTGTACTTGGTGAAACTCTGCTCTACTTTGCGATCGAGTAATCAAGTGCATGGTGCAAATAAACTCAGCGACAAAAAAAACCCAATACCCAGTTTTGACTTGAATGGAAGTTTATACATGGTAACCTTGCAGTTTTTGCTGCTGTATTACCAAAAATTAGCTTTATTATTTCAAGCGTAGTTGTTGCTGAAAAGAAAAGTCGCAAATTTCAGGACACCTTGTATATAGTAAATAAGAGGAAGTACATCCCGCTACGTGTCTTAGTAGAGATTCTAGATATACCACTGTTCATTTGCTGAATAGTCAGAATAGCCTTTAAATTTCACCTTGCAAGTCACCACCGAAGATATTTATTAAAATGCATAAAACTATAAATTGCGATCGTGTTCCAAATTGAATTCTATTCCCCGTTGGGAATTACGTATAAAAGGTTCTCTGCAACTCCCAGGATCAACTTACGTAATAAAGTTTGATGCAGTTGTTATGTAACCAAAATGAAGTATCAAACGATAAAAATACATTGTTAAAATCGATTATAAATGGTAGCAATCAGTCTAAAGAACAACTCGTACACAAAGGGCAGGATCTCCAACAGAATTCAAAACAGTAGTATAGTTTGTTGCTGGAAATACAGGGTGTCCGCAAAGTTGGGGTTTTCCTTTTCAGAAACAACTATCCTTGAAATAACAAAGGTAATGTGTACTGAAACGAAGGCGACCAAGTTAAAAAAAAATAAAGGAAAAAGTACTCACCCTCCAGTTGACGAGAAGGGCTAAGTACGTCTCTGCCCGAAATCATACCGCTCCAACAGAAAATGAAATCAGCTGATGCCTACCGAGCAGACGCAGGCGGTGGTGCAGACCACGAACAGAGGTAACAAATATGACGGCGTTGCCGCGTTTTCAGTTTTTAGGTAAACGTACTTTATAGGTATTGTTCGAAGTTATCGCCATTTGATTCAAAAACACAGGTGCGTGGCTTTGAGAATGGAGTCCCCCCCCCCCCCGAATGAAAGCACCAGCTTGTTCAATTCTGAGACGAAGTTCGTCAACCGTATGCACTTCAGTTTTGCACAGTAAGCGTTTCATTTCTCCCCAAAGAAAAAAATCACATGGTGTTAAGTCTGGAGATCGCGGAGGCCACGCTACGGGTCCATTACGTCCGATCCACCTATTCGGAAATAATTCATTCAAAAACTCACGCACTTCGCGTCTAAAATGGGGCGGTGCACCATCGTGCAGAAACCACATTGATTGTCTTACACTTAATGGCACATCTTCTAACAAGGAAGGCAAAATGTTGCGTAAAAAGTCTAGGTATTGCATCCCGTCCAATCGATTTGGGAGAATAAATGGTCATACATGAGCATACCGTTACCATGCCAGCCCAAACACTCACCGAAAATGTTTGTTGAAAATGAGTGTTGCGAAAGTTATTCACCCCATTAAGCGTGAACGTAGATTCGTCTCTCACCAATATGCACTTCAAAAAGTCAGGATTATTGTCATGTTGATGCAACAACCACTCACAAAACCGCACTCTTGCTGGAAAATCGTCAGGTTGAAGGGCGTGTACACGCTGGACGTGAAACGGATACAGCCCCTCTTCACGCAGCGTTTGCCACACTTTAGTTTTTGATAGTTGTACTTCTCTAGCCACGTCTCTAGTGCTTGTTGAGGGATTCTCGTCTACGCGATTACCTCTACACGCGTGACCGTAACCGTCGGTTGAAGATTGCATACTGACCTGACACACTGACCCCGACCCAATTCTCTCGTCGGGTTGAGCCAGTGACCTTGTACCACTCGGTGATGTCGCGGGTCGCGGCTACAGGACGGTATTCAGATATTTTTGATGTTGCAGAGCCCTTTATCTCGGTTCCCTTAAGACATTGGTGTATATGGTACTAAGAAAAATTGCTTATGTTTTCAAGATCTACACGTCGTGTAAAGGAAAACCCCAACTTTGCGGACACCCTGTATATGAAAAATGATGTGGAATTGGTTCCACATACAAATGTAGTAGGACTATGTAGCCTCGGTATTCATATACAGATTCCAAAAGCGCCAATTTTATACACTTTCAGCAACAGCTAATTCAGTTTTAAATTACCTAACATGGTGCACGATACCAAAGTCGCTTTATATTCAATACAAATGACCCAACCGTTTTAAAAAAAATATTATTTCATTCTCATTCATGTTTCAAGGATATCTCAAGTTCAAGATCTTTTAGAACAGGACTGGCCTAGGTCATACTTCCGGTATTGTTTGGGCAGAAAATGTATGTTCAACCTTTCTACATGAAAACGGCATAAAAAAAGCGCCAATTCGTTGATATGTCGTACATTTGAAGGAAAAGTGTTGTACAGGGTGGCCAACTAAGAATGCAAGGTACTGTATCTGGCAGCCTATACATCGTAGAGGCTTGTGGCAAAAATAGTTATTACTAAAACGGCCAAGAGAAAAACCTGGAAAATATTTACGTTTTTTTCTGAAATGGCCGCTGGGGGCGTAACTGCAATCTTCAATCTAAAAAATGATGTTTCTGTGAATTCTGCTATAATAACCTATCAAAAAAAGACCTGATCCTCAAATTGGAGGATAATCTAAACTTTTTTGTTTGACAATTTTTTTCTCTAAAACTAAACTAATGGAGAGTCTTCAAAAGTTTCCGTAAAGAACACCCTGTATCTTCAAATCATTCAGACAGAAATGGTTAATTTTCTCAAAAAAATTAAATACATTAGTATTATTTTTTTCTAGGAAAATGTAACTAAATGAAGTGTTAACGAGCGCGCAAAAACCTCTTGTTCCTAACGTAAAATTTAGAACTGAAAAAATTTTATACGGAAATCCATTAATTTTTTTTAAACCTATTTTTCTGGAATTTCTTTTTATTATTAAGGCCCGCCGTATCGTCAGTCGTTCCTACAATTGTAGGGCGCGTTTATGGCCTCCTTGATTGTCATACTCTTATTTCTCCTTCAAAAATTTCTAGATTACACCTGTTCTGTGTCAGCATCAGCGCTCTCATATTGTGAAAATATGTTTTCTTTTTAAATTGTAGGAAATTTCGAGCTGATAAGACATGATATAAATCAAAAGCATGCACAATTTGATGCAAATAGATATTTGTGACATAATCTCAAAATAGAGCGCTGACACGGAAAATTCGAAAACTATGACAATCAAGGAGGCCATAAACGCGCCCTACAATTGTAGGGACGACTGACGATATGGGCCTAAGTTATGGTCCCAAAAAGGACCGATTTAAAAAACAAAGGTTTTTAATGCCCCCGTTAATGCTCGAAATACTGACCATCACACTCTATGCATTCCTGAAGCCTCTCGTGGGTAGACAAAACTGCAGCTTCAATTTCGGCTCTCGGTATGTTACGAATCCGGTTTTTCATATCTGCTCTGATTGTAGGTTGAGTCTGAAACACGATGTCCTTAAACCGTCCCCATAAATAAAAATCAAGACAAGCTAAGTCTGGTGATCGCGAAGGCCATGGAAACAGACTTCCCCTTCCAATCCACCGCTGTCGAAATACTGCATTATTATGCTCTCGCACAACAATAGCAAAATGTACTGGGCAACCATCCAACTGCAAAAACAAGTTGTGTCGTGTTTCCAGTGGCACATATTCCAACAACAACCGTAACCGATTGTCCATAAAGTCAAGAAAGACATTGCCATTACGGGATTGCTCAAAAAAATATTGCCCAATAATTGTTCTTCCCAGCATGCCACACGACACGTTTGAAGTCCAACGCCCTTGGGGCTGATCTTCCATTCCACCGTTGAACGTTCCCCAAGAATGCAAGTTGGCTGTCAATTTACTAATGTCATCAAAGATACAAAACGTTTATAGCATTAGCTATAAAAAATGTTTGATGACAGTAACAGTTTCAATCGCTTGACGGTCACAGGTTGGGTGGGCGATGGCAGGCCGCGCTGTTGCCTGCTCGACGGTGGTGGTTGAGGTCTTAATACTCGCCGCGACAGTTGATTACAAAAATGACGTTGAGTTCGCGGATGAAGCCTCGTGTATCAATCAGGAAAATTTCAAATTTTGTGCCTCTTCTATATGTCGACAGACTAGACTGACGTTCATGTCTATATACTATAATGATTAAAACTGCTCGATAGAATATGCTTACAGACTAAAAAAAAACAAGCAATTGGCTTCACTATATTTTTTATTACGAATTTATGTATCAGTTCGGCAGCTCTGGTACGGATACGACCTCCAGTTTCCTGCCATTGGAGCTACAAGAGCCTTACCACTTCACAATATAGAACTATAACAACCTCTTTACCGGAATCTCGGGAGCCTCGGTAGCGCGGTGGTTAGTGCGACGAGCCAGCAACTCGAGGCTCGCGGGTTCGAATCTCCGTCCAGGAAGTTAATTTCGTTCCATGAAAATTGTGTTGTGTGTTGGCTATACAGGGTGGCGCATCAAAAACGAAACAGACCCGTCGATTTTGTTTTCGAGGGGGACACAAGTTTGGCAAACAAACACGTTAGCACGTGCAGCCCCCTAAGCGGGGTGACACCACCCCAAAATCTTAAATGGAAAGGGGGGTCGAGTGATACCTTATTTTAAAGGTCTTTTAATTCCCTTTATAATGATATAAAATTAATGTACTTCCGTTCAGTAGTTTTGAAGATTTATTGATTTAAAGCTTAAATAAAACTAATACATCATCATTAGTGGAGATCAATGCATTTGGCAGCACAGTAATTTAAAAATGAAGAATGAACTGACCCGTTAGGCAAGTAAATGTTGAAAATGGCCACCATGACTCTCCATGCAATAATAAAGATTTTGGTCAAAGCGTTGCCGCACATTTTGCAATACTTGAGGAGAAATTCGAAGGCACTCTTCACAATTCTTTGTCGCAGGTTTTCTAATGATGTTGGCTGAGTAGCATAGATTTTGCTTTTTAAATGACCCCACATAAAGAAATCCAAAGGTGATAAATCTGGCGATCTTGGGGGCTATTCAATGGCACCTTTTCTACCAATCCATCGATTTGGAAACGTCTGATCTAAATATTGTCGAACACGTAATGCGGAATGTGGTGGGACACCATCCTATTGGAACATCAACCTATTCGCAATGTACCGCCGATCAATCTGATTTTCAATTATGGCTGTTAATGCAGGATCTATGGCGTCTTCCAGTAATTCCAAATATATTTCACCGGTCAAATTTCCAGGTAAAAAAAAGGTCCAACTAAATGATCGCCAAAAATACCAGCCCAAACATTTAAGTTTTGTGACTGCTGTGTATGAACCTCATGATAAATTCTGGGATTAGAATCGGACCAATATCAGCAGTTATGACGATTTACTACGCCATTTAAGAAAAAGGAACATTCGTCGAGAAAGCAAGTGTTGAATATAAAATGTTCATCGTTTATAATTCGTTCACTCATCATCACAAAGTTGTAATCGCCGATCAAAATCGTCTTCATTAAGTTCTTGTACCAGGTGAATTTTATACAGATAAAAACTATGGGCCTTTAGAATCCGTTGGACAGTACGTCGACTAACACCACACACAGTCTCCAGTTTGCGGGTACTTAACATAGGATCTACATAAACTTGCCCTAAAACCCCCACTTCTATTGCTTCGTTCGTTATGGGATTTTCAATGTTGCGTTTTTTATTGGCCACTGACCCAGTTTCCCGAAATTTAGCTACAAGTTCTAGAACATATTTTCGATGCACGTTACTGTTCTGATGTCGCTCATTAAATATTTCTGCTATTTTATTAGCGCACTGATTATTTTCAAAAAATATTTCGATAATTTCAACTATTTCTGCTGTGGTTAATGGTAATTTATGTAATAAAGCGTTACAAGTTATTTTAGCAACAAAGTTTGGTCAAATCAATCGCAAACTATGTACTAAATTCCTATTTAAAATAAGTACGAGTTATTTCCTTATCTTTCTTCAAGAAATAACTTTTTTGCCACAAAAAAACGCTCCAATAGCTATTTTCAACAACAAAATGATAAACAAGCCATGGGCGTAGTGAAGAAAAGCATTTACTTATTAAGTAAATTCTTTTAGTCAAATTTCTTCTTAAAGTGGTACAAACTAATCTGATGTAGGGGACACCGGGGCGGGGCAGGGTACCGGGGCAGAACGGTTTGCATACCATATTTCTCACTGTAAAGGGTAGATGTTACTAGCGCTCTCTGTTATCGTTTAGTAGAACGCCACGCATCGGTCGGCAACAATGAACAGATTACAGCAAACAGTTCAAAGTGTTTTCGGTCAAACGTAATCAATTTGTGCATGTGGATATAACTTTTCAGGATTTTTAATACAATGTAAGTTATTTAATTATTTGTTTTGGCGTTTTTTGTTCATTTAACTGTACACGGCATGTGTACAAGTATCTTTTGGAATATTCACGACAAAATATTAATAAAGCGTTCCTATGCAAAGGTTATGTTTTGTTATGAGTAGCTTGTGGGGCAGAACGGTGTGGGGCAGAACGATGTGGGGCAGAACGGCTTGGGAACCCATTCTAACCCCTTATTATCAACGATCTCATTTTGATGCCTTGTGTTGCTTTCAGATGGTTCGCAATTATATTAGAAAGACCGATCGGCAACTGTGGAGTTCTGAAACTATGGAACGAGCTGTAACTGCAGTAGTAAGTGGCGTAATGGGTTGCAAGAAAACTTCAATTCAATTCCAGCTTCCACAAACTACATTGGAAAGATACGTGAAAAAGCGTAGGACTGACTACTCAAGACCAAGAGGTAGAACTAGTTGTATATTTAAAGGATATGCAAAAGAGATTGTTTGGTTTAACATTAAAAGAACTCAGAAAGCTAGCCTATCAATTAGCGGTTAGGAATGGTTGTGAGCATCCATTTAACAAAGATACAGAAATGGCGGGAGAAGACTGGGCCCACTCATTTATGAAGCGTCATTCAGAGTTAAGTTTGAGGAAGCCTGAGGCCACTTCTGGAGCACGTGCCATGGGATTTAACCGAGTAGCAGTCGCGCAGTTCTTTACATTATTAAATAAAGTTATTATTGAGAAAAAAATTACCTGTGAAAGAATTTATAATTGCGATGAGACTGGCATTACAGTGATTCCAAAGCAGCATTCAAGGGTTATTGCAAATAGAGGACAACGTCAGGTAGGCGTATTGACTTCTGCTGAGCGTGGCAATACTGTAACGGCAGAAATTTGTTGCTCTGCTGCGGGAAATTTCATGCCCCCCTGTTGATTTTCCCGCGACAAAAGAAGAGACAAGAATTTGAATTCGGCTTGCCACCTGGAGCTTGGATTGCGGCAAATGACTCTGGATGGATGACTATGGAAGTGTTTTTCGAATGGTTCAAGAAGTTTATTAAATTTTCTGGTGCAAAAAAGAAACTCCCGTGCTCTTACTATTTGATGGACATGCATCTCATACGAAAAACATCGATGTAATAGATCTGGCTCGAGATAATGGCGTTATTTTATTATGTTTCCTACCGCACTGTTCGCACAGGCTCCAGCCTCTAGATGTGGCATTTATGAGACCTTTAAGTCTATACTACAAAGATGAAGTGCGAAGATGGTTGCAGTCAAACCCAGGTAAGGTTGTTACTTTATTTCAAATTTCAACCTTGTTTGGACAAGCTTTTATTAACGCCGCTAATATGAAAACCGCGCTAAAAGGTTTTGAAAAAACTGGTATTTGGCCAACAAACGAGGAATTTTTCACTGACGATGCCTTTTTACCAGCCGAGACAACTAATATTCCCATTGCTGAGACAGAAATTGCCCCTACTCAAGTAACTCAAGTCGCTGATTTTACAGAAAATAATTCCTTCAATGATCCCTCAACCCCACCTCCCAGAGAACTAAAGGAAACTAGCAACGAAACTCAAAATGGCTCTTTACCCTGAATGTCTGACACTCCTATAGCTTTTATGCCAGTACCAAAACTAACGACAACCGTTAAGCGAGTGCAGAGAAAGAGAGGCAAAGCCACTATTATTACAGAGTCACCGTATAAAGCAGAGTTGACTGAGGCATTAGAAAAATCAAAGAAAAACAAAGTGAAAAAAAATCTTTCAGATCAGAAGCAGAAGAGGGAAACAGAAAAGATGTCTCGACCAAAAAAGCAAAAGATAATAGAAGCTAGAGTAAGCTCCGAGGAGGAAGAAGGAGAAGACACATTATGTTTATTCTGTAACGACCAATATTCAACATCAACTGAAGGTTGGATTTCTTGCATTCAGTGTAAAAAGTGGGCTCCTTACTCTTGTGCGGGAATAGATAGTGACGACGACGAGTCAGAACTGATTTGTGACATTTGTAAACCCGAGTACTCCATCGTGCCCCGCCGACGGGGCAGAATGGAGTAAAAGACACTTTTTGTTTAAGTTGATGACATAAAAAAACTGTTAGCCTTATTTTCATATTTGTTTGTGTTTTCATGTTTATGATACCTCAATAGATCATTATGTACCTTTTTAAATTTCTGTAACATCATTTACCCACCCAAACTTGAAATTGAATGTTACGGTCCCCATTCCGCCCCGGTCTCCCCTACCTATTAAAGTCTACTTTAAGCTTTAAATCAATAAATCTTCAAAACTACTAAACTGAAGCTCATGTATTTTACATCATTATAAACGGAATTGAAAGACCTTTAAAATAAGGTATCACTCGACCCCCCTGTCCATTTAAGATTTTAGGGTTGGTGTCACCCCCGCCCAGGGGGCTGCACGTGTTAACGTGATTTTTTGCCAAACTTGTGTCCCCCTCGAAAACAAAATCGACAAGTCTGAGTGTTTTTCAAAAAAAAAAACTGAGCTGCCAGTAAATGCGTCTGTTTGGTTTTCGATGCGCCACCCTGTGTACACACATGGGTGCAATATTATCGCTAAGTACATATCATCGCTGGAGCTGGTTTATTATATCAGCTTCCAGTAGATTTCTACAGTGTTGGTACTACGGGGTCGGGAAAAAGGGTCAAAGGTGGCTTAGTTGCCAATCTTCGCAACCCCACTACTACTACTACTACTATTACTTCACTGTAATCTCGCTGATTATTATCAGACCTGTAATTAGCACCGAAAAAAGTATTGTATGCAAAGGAACTCGATTTCTATATTGATTGAAAAACTTGAATAATATTGAAGGGAAAGAAGTACAACTTAGCAAGTAATATCCAACTTCTCTAAATATATATCTTTTCGCCAACACTTATCTGCACTAGGGTAGACTCAGTAGCATATACGTATAATATTAGATACCAGCCAGCTGGATGGTGATATGGTTTTACTGCTTCTTTAAGCCTGCAGATTTTCTGTCTATTCTCAGGACCAGAAAGATGATGGGGCTCAGCATATTTTTATCCGAGAAGTTCACGCGACGCGATAGTTTTCCAATGAAACGGTGCGATTTGTGGTAAACTATAGTTTGAGCACCGCTGGTATAGGAGCTCTAGGCTGTACATACACGCTTTGAATATCTGTCGCATCTTTCTACTGAGCGAACATAGAGTATCTAGTACCTATGTATATATGAACATGTACTACTTATTATTAGGAACTGGTATTCATAGAAAGTCGTAACATTGAAAATACTGATGCATTTTTATACTCCAGAAAGGTATATCATATATTATTATTTGTGTATAGAAAATATTCCTCACCTCTATGATATATGCACTACTTGCTGGAAATTAAATAAATGTGCACCATAGCGAATTCTATTGAAATGTACAGCAAAACCTTTCCACCGTGATAATCAATACAAAAATTGGAATTTGGAAATGTTGAAAGGTGTATTGTAGTCGCAATGAATTATGAACAAGTGAACTTTGGATTATAATTGACATAGCGGCATGATATTATTGTAGTCTCGAATTCCATTTATTAGAATGCACTCATCTATTTGTACATTTCATTGATATAGAGTCTCTAGAAGATATATTGCACTGCTTTAAAGCCCTTTGACCTTTAATAATGTGTGGATGCAGCCTGATGTGCTACGCATTCTCGAACGCGCCTAGGCATGCTTCTGATCAGGTGGTCAATGTCCTCCTGTGGTATCTCATTCCAGGCAACCACCAACTCCTCTCGAAGTGCTTCTAGAGTCTGAGGAGGACGTTGCAAATTGAGCAATCTCCTATCCATCATATCCCACACGTGCTCAATTGGGGATAAGTCGGGAGATCTTGGTGGCCATGGTAACAATGTGACATCATTATGTCTATTGTGACTCTTGCAACATCTGGTCGGGCATTATCTTGTTGGAAAGTTGGATCTGCCAGGGTGTCAAGATAGGGAAACAGATGGGGTTCTAGAACTTCGTGGATATAACGCTGCGCGTTCATGTTACCTCGGATGAAGATTAAAGGTGACCTGGAACCATAAGCTATAGCACCCCAAACCATAACTCCAACAGTGTGATGAACATGTCTTTCAACAAAAAACTGTGGATTCCTCCTTTCACCACGTCGCCTTCTAACCATGGCACGACCATCGTGCATGCCTAAACAAAATCGAGACTCGTCACTAAAGACAATCTGTTCCATTCCTGATAGCAGAGTGACCGTTGTCTGCACCACTCAAGGCGATTACGTCGGTGTTCTCGAGTTAAAGGGAGGACCCAGTGTGGCCGGTATGAAAACAAGCCAAAACTTTTCATTCGTCGGTAAACACTTAGCATGCCAATAGGTCTTCCGTGTTCTGCAAACCATTCATTTGTAATGGACCTGGTAGTGGAGAAACGGTCCCTTAAGGCCAATAATCTTAGGCGGCGATCTTCACGGTATGTTGTTCTACGGCGGCGTCCAGTGCCCCTTGCTGTTTGCGTACGGCCTTCTCGAAGCCATGCCTGACAACACCTAACCACAGTGTCTACACTTCTTTGCACTCTAACTGCAATTGCCCGAAAAGAAAGTCCAGCTTCCCGAAGTCCCACTATACGGCCCCTATCAAACTCACTAAGTTGACGAAATCGTACAGGTCTCCGTACTCTAGGCATCGTAACCGATCGTAAAGGATGTCAAGAACCAAAATCCGCCAACGTTGATTCTTTACTGCGGCTGAAATATTCATTTTTAGAGCGTTAGTGAATTAAAAAAAAGCAGTATAAAAACCGGAATGCTCAACTGATAAGGCTGAAAATTTTTTCACTTGTTATTTACAGTAAGATAAATACATTCACCAACTTTTATTAAAATAAAACCATTTAAGCTGGGTGTTCGGATTTATATGTCACTTAGTATATTTTGTTTTAATATAATTATTTTATTTTAATTTTCTAGAGTTCCTACTTTCAATAAAGATGTTTGTTGTACCTGAAGAACAGTGAACAAGTTCGTGCACGTATCAAACAATTTTTTAACAAATTCTAAAAGTTATCTTTTCTCTCCGATCTTTTAGGACATACTGGATAAAGAAGGTGCTCTAGTCCTCTTTTCAAAAATTGATAGTTTTTTATACATAGGCGAAAAAGTAGAAAAGGCAAAATATGCCATTATCGACCCCCCAAAAAATATGAAAAAACAAGAATTTTAATTGTTTCAGGCTCCCTAAATATTCGTCAAACATTCGTTAAGAACATCTCAAAACATTTGAGTATTGTTATTGTAAACCTTTTTTAAATTGCTAATCAAGCGCACGCTGAATGTATATTCTCCATGAGTGTGAGAGAGATCGACAGCCGCTCCTATGAAGCATCTCCAAGCGCTGATCCTGGAGGGAAGGCATGCCATTAGCTCCTCTCCCCTTCCAAGTCCTGTAAAAAAAATGAGGAAAGGAGAAAGAACAAGAGACCACATTGTTTTTTGTTTGAAAACTTGACCGAATATAAATTTGTATTATTTTCTCACACTGCTGTTTATTATTTCCCTAAATTAATGACTTTATAGTCAGCGCCAAAGACCTGACAATACGAGGGATGTCTTTTAAGTTTTGCATATAGAAACATAGTAGGCCGCACGGATTGAACGTCAGTACTGAATCTTAACCTCACTCTTTAGTAAACTTAAATTCAAAGTTTCACAAAAATACGTGCACTGTTCTCACTACAGTGAATTTTTAAGTGTCACCAAGTCATTAGATAAATGGAACTCAACCAATAACATTTTCGTGACCTAATTTATTACAACCTTCAGAGATAATTATCGCAAAAAGAATGCCTTGCCTGGTTACTGTCTGTTTTCAGCAAAGAAGCGCCACATCAGTCGACAATTTCCCGTTGGTATGGAGAATTCAAACGTGGACGGGTGAGTCTTAGCGACGATCCCAGGGTGCCACTGGTCAGTTCCAGCGTAGTCACTAGGAATAAAGTTGGTATTCACCCCATAAATCGTGAGGGGTACATTATGGTGAATATCAGCATTTAAAAAATTGTCTAAAAGACATTGGACCTGGCAACATGCAGATTCATCATAAGGAGATTTTTAAGTAAAATTTTGCTAATAATCCGAATCAGAATATGTTTCCTAACTGGAACGAAGGTTCTACCTGGGCTATAAAAGATTAAAGTCTTGGATTGTATTTGAATCCTTTTTTCGAATTCTTACTGTTTTGTGCTTTACGGCAGATTGCGAAAAGTTTGAGGATCACTGCTCTCTACATTCGTACGAATATAGAGTTTGGAGTCATGGCATATTTGACGCTCTCTCTCATTTGCCGTCTATTCTTCGCGATACGGAACTTTATATGGAAGCCAGCTCATGAAATTCCTGATATATCCTTGAGTAATTCCATAAAGAAACTTTCTGGTTATTCCAGTGGCATTCAGGACATGTAGATTCGAGTCAAAGAGATCTCCAAGTAATCCTCGTGTAACTTGAAGGTCATTTCACCAGAATGTGGAAAATATGCAGAGTATCTCCATTGCACAGCGTTCTTTGAAACTAAGCCGATTTCCTGAGTAAGATATACAACAAAATAACGGAATTATTATTAGTGGTGGCAGATGTTTCACGAGATGTGATTTAGTAACTGATATTTCTAAATCAGGAATCAAATACCGTGAAAAAGCATGACGTGATCACAACTTATGGAACTAGGCGCTTTTCGGCTACGGCGCTAATGTTTAAATGTTTGTGGGAAGCGCATACCACATATCCTACAAGCGATATTGTGCCTTACATGTTGGTAGTTCGAGCCAAGCGATTTTAACGCAGGATTTTGCTCCTAATGTATACGAGCCCCTTCCCACTTCAGTTGGCCCAAATATGCCTTTATAAGCTAAACATGACGAAACTATTTACTTCTAAAACAATTTATTTTCTCAAAAACATTTTAGATACACTCTAGTCGTAAAAAATACATATTTGACATCACTTAGACCTATAACTAATAGAACATCTGAACAAATAAACAATGTGGGAATAAATGCGCGAAGTTAACAAAGCAACAATTGAAAGATTACCATTGGGTAACATCACCTTTATCTTTTATTACGGCTGAAATTCTTTGGGGCGTAGTGTTAACCAAGTTTTGGCAAAAAGTCGGTGTAAAACAATCCCATATTTCTTGAAGCTTTTGTCTCAGTTCGGTGATTGTACGAGCAGGATGTTGTAGTAGAACCTTTTTCATCTCGTGCCAAAAAGTTTCAATAGGTGACAGATCTGGATTGCTAGAAACCCATTTCAAAGGTGGTATATTATTTTCTTCCATCCATTTTATAGCCTTTTTTGAGGTATGTACCATCTTGCTGAAACACAAAATCTTGGCCGGATGTCAAACATTCTTCCATCACTGGTAAAAGCGATTCTTCTAAAATTGACAAATATTTGTATCCATATTTCCATCAATAAAATGAAGTTTTCATACTCCTTTTGATGACATACTGCCCCAGACCATAATGGATACTGGAAATTTCACTTTTCTCTTCAGACAGTCAACATGGAATGCTTCATTTTTTTTGCGAATAACTCTACTGCGACTGTCACCAACACAAACTTCGAATCGGTCCCCATCACTCCATTGTATTGCACACCATTGTTGAGGTGTCCATTGTCTATGTTCTTTAGCCCATCTAAGCCGATTTTTCTTTTGGAGTGGAGTTAATAGTGGCTTTTCTTTGGCCTATAAACAAGTTGTGCAACTTTAGGGTTTTTACTTCACTTTTTTTTATAAGAAAACTTACCTTGCAAGTGCTAAATCCCAGTTTGTGGGCCTCTCTATGAGTTGTGGACCTCGAAATTCTCCTTCCAACAGCGTCACTCCACAGAGCACTTAATTGTAAATAATTGGCACGCCTGTTTTATCACGATTATTCTTCTTAATGCTCTTCGGTCGGCATTTGTGATATTACTTTTTTTCACATATCGTTGCTTAATATTAACTGAACCAGTTACGTTATATCTTCTAACAATATTTCTCAGACTGTACCGCGATAAGTCTAACAAAGTTGCAATTTCTGAGTTTGATTTCCCAGAATTAAAAAAATTTATTATCAGTAACCGAATTTTCTCACTAACGTTTCCTCTACCCATTTTGAAAACCTGAACTACCCAAAACTATTTTAAACGTATTCTGACAGCTGTGATTAATAAAAACAATTGTCATGGCTTTTATTTTTCACAGCCACCTATGCGTAATTGCAACATTGCGTGTTATTTTTATGATGCAAATTTGATTAGG